CAGGTAGCGCTATTAGCACCGACCGCACGTTGTTTATTGCCCCTATATTGGCCATCACATCTAAAAACTTGAGCAACCTATGTCTCTTTATGTCATCTTTCATTTGTAATTACGTAGAGAATGGAAACATTCACACACATATATATCACTGTTTTTTTATGTATTTGAAATAATGGCTGGATTTCTAAAATTATTTAAATGAAAAAGAATGAAGATAAAGGGGGGCAAAGTCTGACTGTCATGTAGTGGATAGCTAATCAGCAACAGCAGCTCCCCATCATGGAGACTTATGGACTAAACATTGATATAAATTACAAAAGAAGGAATCGCCAGACATCATCTTGAAGAAGGAATCAAAGTTTACGGTGACGTGTTTCTTTTATTAAAGCTTTTAGACTTGGACGTCCTTCAACAGGCACCTATCTAAGAAACTAGAGGATAATATGTATATGTAAATATTTACATAATTAGAAATTTTATAAAAGAAAATCGTCGCTGTAAACTTTGATTCCTACTTCAAAATTGATATAAATGCTACCGTTTCCAGGGAAGCCGACGTAACCTATGTTTCAGGGATGACAACAAGGTCGGGAACCCTACCAAGATTATGAATTTGATATATGAATTTAATCTCCATGACCTTGTATAATTATACAATGGGATAATTAAAAAAAAGAATTGGGAAGGCTTGGTTCATCAGTGATGAACCTTCCCAGTGAATTCACCAATTTAATCCACCAAATCGCTAGTTCAAGAAGACCTTGTCTGGAGGAGAACTCTCTCAAGGTGGGGAATATTCCTTGCTGAAGAAATTTGTACACATACACAACTATATATATTCCCCTACATTTTATCTACCCTTTATTCACTATTTTATTATATATTTTTCCACCTTTGTAACAATTGATTGTCCACCAGATCGCTACAACAATTATATGTTGATTCTGATTACATATAGCCTGCACTTGAAGGTTTATTCTTGATGATGATGTTTAACGAAACTATGTAAAGATAATTCTGTAATTTTAGAAATTTTACCCCTATTTATAAACAACAACATTCAATAGTTATAGCGATCTGGTGAATTAAATTGGCAAAATCGATGAGAAGGATCACCAATAATGAGCCAAGCGCCTTCCCAATTGTTTTTCATATTCATTTAGATAATTGTAGAAGAATTCACATATACATTATATATATATATATTTAAATTAATTAATTAAACGGTCTGATTGTTGAATTATTTCATCCCGTGTACGCTCTGTTTGTATTGTTTATTTATTTATCATTATTATTAATTATTCTAAAGTGTGTTCTGACTTAAGGACCAATAAACGATCGCTGAAACTACGGGTAGAAAGTTATTTTACTGAAGCATACTTTGGTGAACTTTGGCGTTCTTCTCCAAGAACTCTCAGTTCCATTAGGCAAAGTTTAGAAGTTTTTTAGTACGGATATAACAACAACAACAAAACAACAAAAAAGCCTTTATTTAGGGTCACTGACCCTATACAGGATTCACCAGAGGTATGCATAAGAACAAAGCAGTGAGACAACGGAAATAGCGATATATACAGAGTAAAAAGAGAAAGAAAAAAAAAAAAAAAAAAAAAACAAGAAAAGGAAAAAAAAATAATAATAATAATAAGAAAGAGGGAAGCAAGAAATCAACACAAAAAGAGTAGCAGTAAGAAAGTGAGGAGTGTAGTACGGATATAAGTTTTACTTTTTTAAATTCTCACCCTAAAGTCGCATTCATGGACAAACCTTAAGGAAGTATTGTCGCCAGTCTACTGTTTTTTTTTTTTTTTTAAGAAGAAGAAGACAGAGGCAATTTTGTTCACACTTGGTTATCTCGTGTGTCTTCAATAAAGGTCACTGTGTATCAAATATCTTTCAGAGTTATTGTCTGAATCCCGATATACATGCTAAGAGTTACAACTTCCTTAAAAATTTTGTCCATGAGTGTATTTTGATCGATTATTGACCCTTTAGTCAAGCTATTGAAAAATCCAAATCATCAAACAGTTCTTGTCTTAAAATGAACCATAAATCTAAAAATTTCGAAAAGTACATTAAAAGCTGACATATATTAAAATGAATATTTGTTTTCAACATGTATTTGTACGGCTTGTATTCAAGTAGTAAATGTGTAGCAATTTGGGCTTGCCTGTAGAAAGTGCATACATGGAAGTTTGTAGGTGCAGTTTCAAAACTTGAAAGTTAAATTAGGTGTATCAAAGTATACAGTTCAGAGAATTAGATGATTTTGAAAAGTGTGAGGGCGAATCCATTATACCTAACCTCAATTCAGGCTTGTCCCAGCAAGTCACCACCGCAGGAGGAGGGAAGGCAGGGTAGCGGGATAGATCATCTTACTAATGACCCTCAGATAAATTCCGTCACTTCCGGTGGAAGAAGAGATCTGACCTCTGGTCGCTACATCCTGTCGGAAGTTTCCCTCCTCACAGCCATTGTCCAGCTTCTTGGCTCCTGGCCAAGATGTCGTGGGGCGATATCCTTCAGGGGTTCTGGAGTCGTGGCTAGGTACATCGCCCATAAATACTGGAGTAGTGGCTAGATACATCGCCCAGAAGTACTGGAGTGGTGGCTAGATACATCGCCCAGAGGTATTGGAGTCGTGTGGCTAGGTACATCGCCCAGAGGTACTGGAGTGGTGGCTAGGTACATCGCCCAGAGGTATTGGAGTCGTGTGGCTAGGTACATCGCCCAGAGGTATTGGAGTCGTGTGGCTAGGTACATCGCCCAGAAGTACTGGAGTAGTGGCTAGATACATCGCCCAGAGGTATTGGAGTCGTGTGGCTAGGTACATCGCCCAGAGGTACTGGATTCGTGGCTAGGTACATCGCCCAGAGTTACTGGGTTCGTGGCTAGGTACATCGCCCAGAGGTACTGGGGTGGTGGCTAGGTACATCGCCCAGATGTATTGGAGTGGTGGCTAGGTACATCGCCCAGAGGTACTGGGGTGGTGGCTAGGTACATCGCCCAGAGTTACTGGATTCGTGGCTAGGTACATCGCCCAGAAGTACTGGAGTGGTGGCTAGGTACATCGCCCAGAAGTACTGGAGTGGTGGCTAGGTACATTGCCCAGAAGTACTGGAGTGGTGGCTAGGTACATCGCCCAGAGGTATTGGAGTGGTGGCTAGGTACATCGCCCAGAGGTACTGGAGTGGTGGCTAGGTACATCGCCCAGAGGTACTGGAGTGGTGGCTAGGTACATCGCCCAGAGGTATTGGAGTGGTGGCTAGGTACATCGCCCAGAAGTACTGGAGCCATGGCTAGGTACATCGACCAGAGGTACTGGAGTCGTGTGGCTAGGTACATCGCCCAGAGGTACTGGAGTGGTGTCTAGGTACATCGCCCAGAGATACTGGAGTGGTGGCTAGGTACATCGCCCAGAGGTACTGGAGTGGTGGCTAGGTACATCGCCAAGAGGTACTGGAGTGGTGGCTAGGTACATCGCCCAGAAGTACTGGAGTGGTGGCTAGGTACATCGCCCAGAGGTACTGGAGTGGTGGCTAGGTACATCGCCCAGAGGTACTGGAGTGGTGGCTAGGTACATCGCCCAGAGGTACTGGAGTCGTGTGGCTAGGTACATCGCCAAGAGGTACTGGAGTGGTGGCTAGGTACATCGCCCAGAAGTACTGGAGTGGTGGCTAGGTACATCGCCCAGAGGTACTGGAGTGGTGGCTAGGTACATCGCCCAGAGGTGCTGGAGTGGTGGCTAGGTAGATCGCCCAGAGGTACTGGAGTGGTGGCTAGGTACATCGCCCAGAGGTGCTGGAGTGGTGGCTAGGTAGATCGCCCAAATATGTTACAACTAGCCGAATGACCCGGGCAACGCCCGTGTTTTACCCAATTGAATGTTTTGATTCAAATACTATTTGTTACAATTATAAATTGGCGCCTTATATAAATGCATATGTTAGTTAATAACTATAGCCTATGTGCTTTATCTGTCTATGTACTGTTGGCTTCCGTAGGCGTCTCTTACTGGGAAAAAGAAAGAGAGGATTCCATTTGGTTATTAACTAATATATGCATTTATTTAAGGAGCGACCCGCTCCAACACAATGGTTACAAAAACGAAAAAGCGAGTGGGGGGGGGGCAAAGGTGGCGTGATCGTAGCCAACCAATAGGAGGGCGCCATTCCAAAAAAAAAGCAAACGGTGACAGAGATGACTGATTAAGAGATGTAGAATGACGCTTGTAACTGTATATAGAATTATGGCCAAATAAATCGTCCAGAGATGCTGCACCCCTCGATGCTGAATGTTGGAACAACATATGTACATATATACATTGTACAATTTTATTTTTTGATATAGATGAAGCCATTAGGAAGCTAATTTCTTTGCAAAGGTTTATTTAGAATAAAATCGCCCGATGGTGTCTTAGACAAAAGTGAAATCTTTAATAGGATAATCTCTCGCCTTATCACCTGAGGAAGTTTAACTATACATTTGAAGTTGAAATGAAATTAGTTTCGAATAGGTAAAACAATTTCCGAAGGACTATTAAACGGGATACGTCGGATTTTCTTAATTTCAAATCGAAACCTGGTAATTTTGACTGTTATCCATGGTCCACATCTCGATTTATCTTCAATTTGATGAACTTTCCAGTTGGTCTCGAGGACCATGCCATCACCATCTCTTCAGTAGCAAAGCATATCAACTACTTTGTTTATATAAACTCCATGAACTCTGTTGCTTAATACATGTAAATTTGAAAATATTTAATCCTAAGTTTCCATTTGTTTGTTGTTTTGTTTGTTTCCTCTGTATTAGGCGCAAATACTTCAATATCGCGCCTTGTTGATTAATTAATAAATAAATAGATAAAAAGTATTGTTATATATGCTTGTTCTGCGAGATCTAAGCTAAGAAGTGAAGGAAAGACAGAAATGATAATCAGATCACTCATTTCTATATACTGTTATCAGCGTCATGCGTTCTTAATTCTGTCGTCACCGTTTGCTTTTGGTTCAGTGGTAGAATGCTCGCCGGCAGGGTTCGCGGGCGCCCCGGGTTCGATTCCCGGCCGATGCATTTTTTTTTTTTTTTTTTACAATTTTTAAAACTCATTTATATATTATACAAGAATGACATCCACGGCGCCAATTTATAATTGTAACGAATAGTATTTGAATAAAAGCATTTAATCGGGTAAACCCCGGGCGTTGCCCGGGTCATTCGGCTAGTATCTGTATAAGGATGAGATTTAGTTGTTCTTTCTTTATTTTAAGAACGAAATACTTGATGAGGAAAGAGTTTCTTTATTACACAAAATTAGATCACAAGCTTTCGGGCACAATCACCCTTCTACTGGTGTAAAACGAGACAAAATTATTGTCTCGTTTTACACCAGTAGAAGGGTGATTGTGCCCGAAAGCTTGTGATCTAATTTTGTGTAATAAAGAAACTCTTTCCTCATCAAGTATTTCGTTCTTAAAGTTTAGTGAAGGAATTATTACTTCAATATCTTTCTTTATTGTTTATCTGAGACACGTCCTGTGGACTCTTGCAAAATCTGTGAGATTGTTGTAGGACGACTGTCAGTATCCTAAAATATTGTATTTATTGCACGGACTTACTTGTCACAATTGCGGTTGTACGGCAGTACACTCCTTGAAATAGCAGTAGTTTTGAATTAAATAAAATCAATAAAGCATCCAGGGCTAAATTTTTTCTCAGTTTTATTTCTCCATCTTTCGAAGTAACATGCCCTTCATCAGAAGCAACTAGGAGTATAACTAGCTAACTATACTAGAAGTTATACTCCTACTTGTTCCCGTTAAAGGACATATTAGTCCGAAAGCTAAAGAAAATTGTACAAGAAACTTAACTCTGAATGTTTTATTGATTTTATTAAACTATAAGTCATGGGAAGAAAGTTTATTTAAAATTGATTGTTTTGAATGGCCTTTCGAAATTGAGATAATATGATGGTACATACGAGTACTTGGAAAGAGTAGCAAAATTACATAGACATACCGATCAAATTCGTGGTAACAACGCGAACATACCCTAAAACATCAATGGTATTACCTGGACATATAAAATTTGTGGTAATAACGCGAACATACCCTAAAACAGCAATGGTATTACCTGGAAATATAAAATTTGTGGCAACGCGATGGAACATACCCTAAAACAGCAATGGTATTACCTGTACATATAATATTTGTGGTAACGCAATGGAACATACCCTAAAACAGCAATGGTATTACCTGTACATATAAAATTTGTGGTAACGCAATGGAACATATCCTAAAACAGCAATGGTATTACCTGTACATATAATATTTGTGGTAACGCAATGGAACATACCCTAAAACAGCAATGGTATTACCTGAACCCTACTATATAAAAAAAAAAAAGATCGCAAAGCGTTCCGCGAAGAGCGGCGGTAGGAGGAGCGCGGGAGGCGAAATTCCCCGCCGCTGTGTTGCTAGGCGGACGGCCGCATACCTCGGCAGCACGTTCCCACAGCGAGCGGGGCCCTTTGTCCACCGCCTGGCCTCTCTCTTCCATCACCGCTTCTTCCCAGCTCTGGGAGATGGTTGCACTTCTTTGTTCCTTCGAGTTTAATTGGATCGTGGTTGGCATGCTGCTGTAGAACACTTTAGTCAAATTGTCGATATTCTCACCTTGGACCACACGAAGAAATTTATAAGATCAGAAAGTGTTGCTTCGGCTTCAAGTTAAAATCCTTTTGGCTTCAGCAATGCTTTTGACTTCAGCCTACTTTTCTACTTCACCAAAGACGTCAGCAATTCTTTTGACTTCGGCACTCCTTTTGACTTTAGCATTCCTTTTGACTTCAGCGTGCCTTTTGATTCAGCATTCCTTTTGACTTCAGCATACCTTCTGACTTCAGCATGCCTTTTGAATTCAACATTCCTTTTGACTTCAGCATGCCTTTTGACTTCAGAATTACTTTTGACTTCAGCATGCCTTTTGAATTCAGCATTCCTTTTGACTTCAGCATGCCTTTTGACTTCAGAATTACTTTTGACCTCAGGATACCTCTTTTGACTTCAGCATGCCTTTTGACTTCAGGATATCTCTTAACTTCAGCAATCCTTTTTACTACCTTAGCTACATTTGCATCCTTTCGATTGACTACTTTGACTTCTTATGTTCGTGTACCAGAAGAATAAATGCAAAATGAGCCTTTTGCCCTTTCATTCTATATATTCAAAGTGCAAATTTGACTTTTTCAATATACATGATCAAAATATTTTAGACGTAAATATGCAACTTTGAAAATCTATATTGGCAAATCGGGTTCAATATATTGCAATGGTTTGTATTTTTTATTTCGAGAAGTGAATACGTGAAAGGGTTGCATCCATTTGAATTACCACAGTAACATTCAAATTAAGATTGTGACATCATGTTTTCTAATTAACAAAGCGAAACAAGAGTGCTGTGGTAAGCTTTAGATGTAAAAATCTTTGCTCACAGATTTCCTGAACGTTCTTCTATGCATACCTATGGATGGTTATGGTTAGTGAGCTTTTCAGCTTTCTGTACTTCATCCTTAAGGAACACCGATCTTAACAGACTCAACTATTCATTATTGAATGAAAACATTATTTATACTCATGGACAAAACTTAAGGAAGTCTTTGATGTCGCCAGTTGTCTGTTTTATTTAAGGAGACAGAAGCAATATTGTTCATACTTAGGTATCTCGTGTGCCTTCACTAAAGGTCACTGCATATCAAATATCTTTCAAAGTTATTGTCTGAATATCGATAAACAGGTAAGACATCCTTAAGTTTTGTCCATGAGTATAGTTTCGGGAGGTTATCCATACGAGGAGAAGTAACAATCTAAATATACTCTTCTTAGACCTCCCTCAATCGGTTAGTTAGCAAGATTAGGTTAAGTTAAGATAAGGTTTAAATTATTGAAGAAGTAACCTAGAGTGTGAGTTATTCTAACCAGTGGGAGGAACCATAAAGATGAGTTCAATCATCAAATCAACATTTAACTTGTGTGGGACAAGGAAGTGGGGAGTATTCCTAGCAGAGCACACATGTGACACTACATCCTTCCTATACTCTTGTAATTGAAATGTGTGACATAAGCAAAATGAAACTAGTTTCTTCAGATGGTGTTTGGTTGAAATCCTTTAACTGCCTTTTCTACCAACTAAAATTCTACTAATAAATGTAATATTTCGGATGTGAATGAGAGAATAAAATTTGTCACAATTATATATGAGAGATATGAATATGTAATTAATTTACATAGGTATAAGTATATATGATTATACATTAAACAAACATAACTAAATCATTATATAAAACTAGTATTAATACTTGCTATTAGGTATTATGGTTAGCTAGAAATTATTCTTTCTAGTGAGAGATGCGGTGACTGCCCGCCGTATATAGATAGACCTGTGTGGCTACACATTGTTGATCCAGCGGGGATATTACTTCAGACTGTGATTGCAATGTTTATATTTGAGATGGTCGGTAGGCAAGGAGCGGTGGGATGAATGGGAGCGTTGTACTCCGGCACGTCACGTCCGGTGATAAGCAGCCCTAAATCAACCTTGGAGTATATACCGGGGTCTCTATCTCTGGAATGTCGGAACCTCTACCCGCCTGGCTGCACTGGTACCTGACCTCACCCAACCTGGCTGCACTGGTACCTGATCTCAGTACCCGCCTGGCTGCACTGGTACCTGACCTCACCCCGTCTGACTGCACTGGCACCTGACCTCATCCCGCCTGGCTGCACTGGTACCTGACCTCAGTACCCGCCTGGCTGCACTGGTACCTGACCTCACCCCGCCTGGCTGCACTGGTACCTGACCTCACTCCGCCTGGCTGCACTGGTACCTGACCTCAGTACCCGCCTGGCTGCACTGGTACCTGACCTCAGTACCCGCCTGGCTGCACTGGTACCTGACCTCACCCCGCCTGGCTGCACTGGTACCTGACCTCAGTACCCGCCTGGCTGCACTGGTACCTGACCTCACTCCGCCTGGCTGCACTGGTACCTGACCTCACTCCGCCTGGCTGCACTGGTACCTGACCTCACCCCGCCTGGCTGCACTGGTACCTGACCTCAGTACCCGCCTGGCTGCACTGGTACCTGACCTCAGTACCCGCCTGGCTGCACTGGTACCTGACCTCAGTACCCGCCTGGCTGCACTGGTACCTGACCTCAGTACCCGCCTGGCTGCACTGGTACCTGACCTCAGTACCCGCCTGGCTGCACTGGTACTTTTTTTGTTTTTGTTTTTACGTGCCTATAGCTCTTGTTTACTAAACATGCACTGGTACCTGACCTCACCCCGCCTGGCTGCACTGGTACCTGACCTCTACCCACCTCGTGGATCAGAATCGGCACTACTCCCCCCGGGTCGACAATATTGAGAACGCCATCGTGCTGCGCGGGACAGCCACTGCCCGCCGCATGTTGGAGCGTCCACGCCTGGCTGCACTGCCCATCACCCATCTGGTGGGCCGGTGGCTCCCCCACGTCAGCACCCCCCATCTCCATCAGCTGGTCTTCTCTCCGGCGATGTGCCTTCTCGGGGCACAATGCTGACGTTGCCGAGCGGCTGGCCCTGCACGTCCTTCCCCATCCAGCACATCTGGCCTCAGCCCGGGAGTCCTGCATCGCCTGTGGGTCCGGAGACCTGTCACTGGCCCACCGCTACTGGTCCTGTAGGCGTGATCCTGGAGCCAGTCATCCTGGAGGCCTTCACCATCATCCAGCGGCCCCCTGAACTGTAGGGCTGGATATTTGGGCATGACCTGGAGGAAGACGCCCTGGCCATCTTCGCGTCTGTCAAGACGCGTATATATAGGCACTTCCTGGCCCTGGAGTTGTGAGGGGTCCAAGACGACCCTTCCTGATCTGGAGGAGGACCCTATCAAGATGATGGAGTCTTCCTCACTCATAAATCATTGTAAATATTCTCATTATTTTTATTTATCTGTTTAAAATGTAATATTGACTATAAAATTGTTTCAATCTCAATCCACCTTCCTGGCTACACTGGTAGCTGACCTCTACCCA